AAGAACCCAAGATGACTTCCAAGCTGGCCCAAGCTATCCCGAGATGCCGTGATGTGGTTTCCATGATGCCTCAAGGTGGCCCTTCAAGATGCTCCAGGACGGCCCCATTTAGCCACGGAGCCTCCCCGGGACCCCCAAAAAAAACAGCATCCTTCAAAAACTTGGAAATCGTCAGTATTGATGGTTTCCCGCTTTTGTTGATCCGCCCCCTTGCTTTGATCGATAATTTCCCAGATGGCCCCAAGAGCCCCCGACAGCTCCCCTGAGCACCACAAGAGGGCCCGAAGAGCCGCCCAGACGGCCCAAAGAGGCGCCCAAGGGGCCTGCAAAAGGCACGCAAACAAAAACCAGCAGAGGTCGCAGGATGATCCCCAAGGCACCCAAGATGCTGAAAACGGCCGCGGGTTTGCCAAGATGCCTCCCCAGACGCCCCAATTATTAGAACCTTCCAAGCTTTATCCAAGGAGACGCCGAGAAGCATTCAAGAGGTTTCTGGTTTTTCTGCTCACCCTTGTTACTCCTCCCCCTCCTCCTCCTCCACCTCCTCATCATCATCACCACCATCATAGTATCACCATCGCGGTCATCGTCACCTTAACCACCAGCATTATTATCATTCGCATCCCGCTCTTGCTCCTCCTCCTCATCCTCCTCATGTTCCTTCTTCCCCTCCTCCTAATCTACTTACTTTTCCCTCTCCCTCGCCTCCGTCTACTCCTCGTCCTCATCCACTTACTCCTCCTCTTCTTCCTCCTCCTTCGACTCCGTACTGAAAGCAATAGGGTGACCTTGCCCCAGTTGCTGTTCAAAGCAGAGCGACATGCTGTTGAAACCTAGCGAAGCCCCGAAGCAGCAAGAGGCCCGGGCGCGAGGCGGGACAAATGCCAAGCGGCGTCAGGCCATGACTGGCGGGCCACGGGGCCGAGCCGGAGCGAAGTAGAACGACAGTCAGCAGCCGGGGAGCAATTAACACCAGGAAGACGGGAGGGAGGTCGTCAGCATCGCCCCGCCGCTCGCTACGCCGCCGCCCGCCGCTGAGGGGAGGGGGGGAGGGCCCCAGAAAGCTCTCGGCGAAGGGACCGCGCCCCCGAAGGCCCACCCGCCGCCGCGGCCAGCCGTACACAGGCCAACCAGGCCCTGATGACGACACCGAGGCGGCACGCCATCACCTGTAATTGAACCCGTCGCCGGACCCCGCCCCCGGCCGCCTTGCTGATCCACCCCGACTTCGAAGTGACGCAGGGCTGGACACCCCCACCACTTCGGCGCGATCCGCACCTCGTCCCCGAGCTCGAGCCGACGTTTGGCAAAACGCGGGCACCCGGCCCAGATCGAAGTGCCGACACAAGGACCGCGCGCGCCCGCGCCCGAAAGGGCAAACGCATTGGCCGCCAGGCGTAGCAATGCTGCGCCTGTGGGCAGGCGTGTTCGCCGGCCAGCCACGCCAGACCGAGAGCAGGGTGGACTCGAATCGCCCCAAAGACCTCCAGAACTGAGCCCAGGGCGGCGCGTCTTGAACGGCCACATCGGTATCCCCGATACCGTCCTCGTCGTGGCGCTCAGTCCCACGAGCAGAACGGAGGCGAAGGAACACCGCCCGGGCGCGCTCCTGGAGAACGTGCTGACCGCGATCGGGTGGAGCATCGAACCCCCCCAAAGGGTCGGGGGCGCCCCCCCGGATTCTGTGTTCGAGTTCGCGGCTGTCGTCCGCAGCACCGGCAGCGACCACCGCCGCCGCTGCAGGGTCGAGCCCCGCAGCCGGCAGCAGCCACGCGTTTGCAGGGAGCGGCCCGGCCAAGACGAGTGCCTCGGGACGACAGCAGCCGCGACGCAGGACCCCCCTGAACAGCGTTCACAACAGCGCAAGAAATGCCGAAAATCGGGCGCAACGAGATTCACCACCACCGAGCGCACCACGAAATGCAGCGGGTGCGCACCACCGACATAAGCGTAAGCGTGAGCGTGGTCAGATCGGAAGGCGGAATCGCGCAGAACGGGGCCGACCATGAACGCGTCTCTTTATTTCTGGCGATGACGGGCGTCATGGGGGGGGGGGCGGGGGGGGATGACGTAACGCCCCACCCGCCGCGTGGCTCCGGCAACACAGCTGCGCCCGCGCGCACGACAACGAAGAGCGACGAGCGACGCGGACAGCATGTAGGTGGCGATCTGCCCCACTGCGCCTGTGTACACCACGGCGCTCGCGTGAATCACAGCACGCGCGTGCACAACAACGCCTGCGTACACCGCAACAGCCGTGCGCAACGCAACGCCAGTGTACACCACAGCGCTCGCGTACACCATAGCGCCGGTGTGCACCACAGCGAATGCGCACACCGCAGCAACCATGCGCAACACAGCGCTTGTGTACACCACAGTGCTTGCGTGCACCGAAGCGCCTGTGCACACCACGGCGCCTGTCTACACCGCAACACCCGCGTGCAACGCAACGCTGGTGTACACCATAACGCCTGCGTGCACAGGACACGTAAAAGGAACATGTCGGTGAGGATCTGCTGCGGACAGCTGAACGCCACGCCACGGAAGTGCTGCGAATGGAATGCGACGTTTTTCCCTCCTCCCTCCTCCTCCTCCTCCTCCTCCTCCTTTTCCTCCTCCTCCTCCTCCCCATTCCTCCTGCTCTTCCTCCCCATTCCTCTTCCTCCTCGTCCTCCCTCACCCTTCCCCCTTGTCGCGAGGGTCGGCGGCTCAGCGCACGCGCGCATCTCAGAGTGCACCGCACACTGGTCGATTGAATCAGTCCACTTGGTTCTCGGACGGCCAAGTTTGCTGGAGTTTCCTGGGCGCAGATGGGAGGAGTTAGTCAGGATAATGCGGGCGGACTCAGGGGGACTAGTACATTTCAGCGGCGCTCCTTTTTTTCCATAAGGACTCCTTTCCAAATCCCATATAAACATATAAAACAATAGCGTTCTGTGACACATCAGCTCCATCCTGTCATAACGATTCTTTCGCACATACTATATACAACACTGGCGCTCTGTTGCACACGGATGCTGAAGTACACAGGCGCCGTGGTATACACAGGCACTGCAATGCACGCAGGCATTGTGTACACTGGTTCTGTGTTGCACACGGCGGATGTGTTGTACGCAAGCACTGTGGTGTACAAAGGCGCTCTATGCCCGCAAGCAGTGCGGCACATACTGGCACTGCGTTGCACGCAACTGCTGTGGTGTACATAGGCGGTGTGGTGTACACAGGCGCTGTGGTACACGCAGGCACTGTGGTGTGCACAGTCACTGTGGCGCAAATCGCCATCAACATGCTGCTGAACCGCGGGCGCGAAACGTGACGTCATCGGCCCCATCCCCCCCCCACACCCCAGATGATTACCGTCATCGGCGCGAAAAACAGGCTCCAGCCGCGTCCGCGCGCACGACGACGATGAGCGACGAGCGACGAGCGACCAGCGACAACGACAACGACAACGACAACGACAACGACGACGACGACGACGACGACTCCTGTGCGGATTCCTGTGCGGACACCTATGCGGATCCCCATGCGCACGGCGGCAGTGCCCAAAGCGCACTGGGGGGGGGAGCGTTACGTCATAGCGGAGGGGGGGCGGGGGCCATGACGCCCGTCATGCCCCACGCAATAAAAAAACACACGTTCCATCTGCGCTTGGGGGCGACGCACATCAAGGCTGCTAGCTCCCTGATCCGTTGCCCGCCGGGAGCCGTGCGGAGCCCGCGCACCTGGAAGCGGACCCGATCCCACCCGTCCCGCGGCCCCCCTCTCGCCTCAAATCCTTATAATCGCCCTCCTCCTCCTCCTCCTCCTCCTCCTTCTCTTCCTCGTCTGTCTCCTCCCTCTCCGCCTCCTCCTCCCCCTCCTCTTCCTCCTCCTCTTCCTCCTCCTCCTCCTCCTCCTCCTCCTGCTCTCCTCATTCTCAAATGCATCATCCTTCTCCCTCATCCATCATCCTTCCACATCCTCCTCCCCCTCCTCCTCCTCCTGCCATTCCTCCTCCCTCGAACGAGAAATACTGCCCCCCATTATGCTGCGACGCGTCCATGATCGTCTCAACTCGCCTAGGCGTCGGAGTTGGGTGACTGGTTGGATACGCGAGACGTCAAGAATGTTCAAAAACTTCGCGGATTGAGGACAGGTTTGATCTTACCATGCCGGTCTCGCCTTCGCGCCGCGCTCTTGCAGTGTAAATATTACAACCATTTCACGGATTGAGGGCGGGTGGTTTTCAAACTGTGGCTCTCGTCGTAACGCCGCAGACATTCGCCATAAAACGGTGCAATCGTTTCACATATTGAGCGCGCTGTTTTTTTTCAAAATGTGGCTCTTGCCTTATCGCCGTGCACATTTGTTTCAAGAGAATATAGAAGGTTGTCCCTGAATATCATGGCTACCATAATACAGAAGTGGCGCTTTGAAATGATTCAGGATGATCAGGGCGCGACGGTTACGTCCATTCGTGGTGTTGAAGTCTCAGGAGCGGTGTTCTGGCACGATTTGGGGATCGTCAAGACGCAACAGTCAGGTTGACTCGTGGCATTGACGTCCTGAGGGCTGTGCTTTGGTACGCTTCAGGGTTTTCACACGGTTGTCACCCAACGGGGCACTTCCCCCAGTGGAAATGAACCCTTGAAGGGGCCTATGAAGAGGGAGCTTGGAGGGAGGGTGGATTCCAACATCGTTGACGTGACTTGGGTTTGCACTGGTGCTCCTCCTCCTCCTCCTCCTCCTCCTCCTCCTCCCCACACCCTTCGTTCTCCTCCTCCTCCTCCGCATGATCCTCCTCGTCCTCCTCCTTATGCTCCTCCTCCTCCTCCTCTTCTTCAACCTCCTGATCCTCCTCCTCCTCCTCCTCCGCCCCCTCGCCCTCCCCATTCCACTTCCACGTCCGCCTCTGCTTCCTCCTCCCCTCCTCCTCCGCCTGCACCTCCTCCCTTCCTCCTCCGCCCGCACCTGCTCCTCCTCCCTCCGTGGCCGACGGGGGGAGGCGCGGGGCGCTCCGAACGCGTACAGCTGCATGTTCTGGAAGTGCAGGGAGTCCTCGCCCGAGCACGGCGGGGGAGGCCGCGGCGCCCGGGGGCCAGCGGGGGGGGGAGGAGGAGGCGGGGGCGAGGCGCGGGCGGGGAGGGCCGCGGAGGAAGGGCGGGCGCGGGGGGCAGAGGGAGGGGGGGGGGAGGCAGGAGGAGGAGGGGGCGAGGGGAGGGCGGGGAGGGCCGAGGGGAGCGAGGGGGTTGTGGAAAGGGGGGGGGGGAGGGGGGCGGGGGGGGAGAAGGGGGCGTAGGAGCGAGGATGAGCAGGGGGAAACTGGAAAACAAGAGGGAGGATGAGGAGGAGGAGGAGGAGGAGGAGGAGGAGGAGGAGGAGGAGGAGGAGAGACAGAGGAGGGAGGATGGGGAGGAGCAGTTGCCCCTCTGTGGCTCTTGGGCTCTGGATTGCGCCCTCATATCGGAAGAGGTACCTGGGGACAAACGTCCTCATCTTCTCCCAACGCACACGCCTACGTAAAACCCTCTAGACCAACACGAACCCCTGACAACTCCACGTCCCTCGCTGTTTCAGTCCCTCCCCGTCCCACTTTTCCTCTACCAAACCCTTCCTTCCACTTGTCGCCGCCCTGCTCCGCCCCCCCTGCTCCTCCACCTCATCTTCCCAAACCTCGCATTCATGCTCCATCCATCACGCGCCATGCCTCATCATCACTCTCCCCGTTGCTGTTTTTCTTGCTCTTGATGACAGCGCACGCGCACAACAACTTCTCCTGACTGCACCACCAGACGTGCTTGCCTGGGCGGGCCAGGTATTTCGCCGAACGCGCCATCACACTGTAATAGAAACCAGAACATATCAATAGCCTTTTGTATGCAGAGCGAAAAGTATTCAACTGTTCCTTACGCATTGGCGCCACACGCAATCGTCTTACATGTTTGTAGCACTACACCAATCGAGGGCAGTTACCTGACAGCGAAGACTGATATGTTTCTAGTGGTGTCAAAAGAGAGCATCATAACTCCCCAAGGGGGTCTGGGCGGGATCCGGACGGGATCCGGGGGAATCCGGACACTCTTTTTTTTGCCAACAATAACGCACTTCGTGTTCTTCGAGTTCCCAGAACTACATTCCTGGGCATGATTTTGAAAGCCCGGAGCCAACTGTAGGCCACTTCGTGGTCTTCGAGTTCCCAGAACTCCATTCCTAGGCATGATTTTAAATGCCCGGAGCCAACTGTAGGCCACTTCGTGGTCTTCGAGTTCCCAGAACTCCATTCCTCGGCATGATTTTGACTGCCCGGAGCCAACTGTAGGCCACTTCGTGTTCTTCGAGTTCCCAGAACTCCATTCCTGGGCCACACTTTGAATGCTGAGGCAGGCTGATGCTGAGGCTGAGGCAGGCTGAGGCTGAGGCAGGCTGCGGCTGAGGCCGAGGCTGAAGGCAGACTGAGGCTGAGGCTGAGGCTGAGGCTGAGGCTGAGGCTGAGGCTGCAGGCTGAGGCTGAGGCTGAGGCAGGCTGAGGCTGAGGCTGAGGCTGAGGCTGAGGCTGAGGCTGAGGCTGAGGAGGCTGAGGCTGAGGCTGAGGCTGAGGCTGAGGCTGCTGAGGCAGGCTGAGGCTGAGGCAGGCTGAGGCTGAGGCCGAGGCTGAAGGCAGACTGAGGCTGAGGCTGAAGCAGGCTGAGGCTGAGGCTGAGGCAGGCTGAGGCTGAGGCTGAGGCAGGCTGATGCTGAGGCAGGCTGAGGCTGAGGCTGAGGCTGATGCAGGCTGAGGCTGAGGCAGGCTGAGGCTGAGGCCGAGGCTGAAGGCAGACTGAGGCTGAGGCTGAAGCAGGCTGAGGCTGAGGCTGAGGCAGGCTGAGGCTGAGGCTGAGGCAGGCTGATGCTGAGGCAGGCTGAGGCTGAGGCTGAGGCTGATGCAGGCTGAGGCTGAGGCAGGCTGAGGCTGAGGCCGAGGCTGAAGGCAGACTGAGGCTGAGGCTGAAGGCAGGCTGAGGCTGAGGCTGAGGCAGGCTGAGGCTGAGGCAGGCTGAGGCTGAGGCTGAGGCTGAGGCAGGCTGAGGCTGAGGCCGAGGCTGAGGCAGGCTGAGGCTGAGGCTGAGGCTGGCTGAGGCAGGCTGAGGCTGAGGCTGAGGCTGAGGCTGAGGCTGAGGCTGAGGCAGGCTGAGGCTGAGGCCGAGGCTGAAGGCAGACTGAGGCTGAGGCTGAAGCAGGCTGAGGCTGAGGCTGAGGCTGAGGCAGGCTGGCTGAGGCTGAGGCTGCAGGCTGAGGCTGAGGCTGAGGCTGATGCAGGCTGAGGCTGAGGCAGGCTGAGGCTGAGGCCGAGGCTGAAGGCAGACTGAGGCTGAGGCTGAAGCAGGCTGAGGCTGAGGCTGAGGCAGGCTGAGGCTGAGGCTGAGGCAGGCTGATGCTGAGGCAGGCTGAGGCTGAGGCTGAGGCTGATGCAGGCTGAGGCTGAGGCAGGCTGAGGCTGAGGCTGAGGCAGGCTGAGGCTGAGGCTGAGGCTGAGGCTGAGGCAGGCTGAGGCTGAGGCTGAGGCTGAGGCTGAGGCAGGCTGAGGCTGAGGCTGAGGCTGAGGCAGGCTGAGGCTGAGGCTGAGGCAGGCTGATGCTGAGGCAGGCTGAGGCTGAGGCTGAGGCTGATGCAGGCCGAGGCTGAGGCAGGCTGAGGCTGAGGCCGAGGCTGAAGGCAGACTGATGCTGAGGCTGAAGCAGGCTGAGGCTGAGGCTGAGGCAGGCTGAGGCTGAGGCAGGCTGAGGCTGAGGCTGAGGCAGGCTGAGGCTGAGGCTGTGACTGCGACTGCCGTTGCCACTGCGACTGTCATCGCGAATGCGACTACGACCGCGAGAACAGCAGAATTCTACAACTGGATTATAATCTGGATCTTAAGGGGGATGCTTTCAGATATGCTCCTACACATCGCTGTTAGGTTGCTTTGCCGGGATAATACGTTTTCAAAACGCAGTTCGCGCCTAAACGTCGCACGCTCCCGTTTTACACGTTTGCAAATCGGCGCTTCTTTTCAAGAATCGGTGCTCGTTCGAACCGTGGTCATTCTTCGTGCTCCGGAACCTAATTGATATTGCACGACTAGGCGAAAGGGCGGCGGCTCTTCCTTATAGCTCTCTAGATTGAGACACGCTCTCAAGGTCGACGCCCCGGATTTATCCAATTCGTGAAACAAGTATACCATGCAAATGGAAAGCAATTCCGCTCCAGGATGGGAGTCCCGCTTAGCTGTTGTGGGGCCTTGGAAACCACAAGCGTTGAGGGCATCCTTTGCCAAAGTGATCAATGATAGGCCCACGCGGCGCCCGCTTCCAATCGGGCGCTTTCCACAGTTGAAAAAGCAATGGGCTCATGACGAGGAGACTCAGACCGGGAGGGCACACAGCGGCATCGTCGATGCGTCCTACTCCTGGGTTGACTCAGGTTCTCCCGCCCCTTCCCCTCCTCCACCTCCTCTGGATCCAGCTACGACGATAAGAATGTCCCGGATGCCCCCGAATGGGTGCAGGATGTCCAAACACAAGGATCATCGATTGCCGCCCCCCTCCTCACTCAGCCCTCCATTCTCGCTGCCCCCCCCCCTCTCGCCCTCCTCCGTCGCCTTCCCTTCCCGCTCCCCCGTCGGCCCCTTCTTCTCACTCCCTCGATCACCCCCCATCCATGTTCAACTCTCCGACGGCAGAAACAAACTATCAAACTACCTCGATCCCCATCGATCCGATTGATCATCCTCCCTGGCACACGCTGACACGGAACACAGGTCCGTGGATCTGCTGAAACCTAGTCGCCAAGTGTACGGATCGGGGAATGCCCCCCCCCTTTCCACCACAAAAAAAACACCCGGGGCCAGCGCCGCCCCAGATTGAGCGGCGGAGCGCGCCGACTCGGCCCCACAACGGGACCCTTTCGCAACTCCACGCTGCCCCCATCGAACCTCTCGATCCGCACCCTCTCCCCACAGGAGGAGGCGGGGGGCTGGTCGCAGAGGGCCAATGGGGCGGCGCAGTGGTGGTCCTCCGGGTGCAGCTTCACCTCGGGGCAGCGGGGTGAGGATGAGGTCATTCGGCGCAAGGGCGGGAAGGGGGAGAAGGAGGGGGATGAGCAGCAACGACATGAGTGGAGGTGGCTTCCAGAAGATGCCGTGAAGGAGTGACGTGAATAACGAAGAAGAACAAAAAAGGAGGAGGAGGAGGAGGAGGAGGAGGAGGAAGAGGACGGAGAGCAAAAGGAGAAGGAGGTGGGATGAAACGGGAGGATTTTTCCTCAGAGGGAGGGGTGTGAAGGGAGCAGGGAGGGGAGGAGGCCCCTAGAGATGGAAGGGGTGGAGGGTCGACAACCTGTAGGTTCCAATCGCAAACGTGCAAAAATCCCGAGCATCAGGGCCCACATCAAGGGGGCGAGGGATTTGGATTGCGACGCCGTTGCAAAATATAGCCTGTCAGCGAGCGCAGCTGGCAGAGATAACTGCGAACACTCTGCACGGGCACCAAGGTTAAAGGACACACAGTGCATATAAAAGTTGAAACTTTCAACCGTGGTCAGGTCAGCGGCAGCGGTGCAGAAACGCGGGGCGGTCCTGGACCGATGCTGGCGACACGGCCCTAATCGCCAAAACAATTCAACCCGCTGTACACATGCAAAGGAAAGAGGAGCACGCGCAGCACTCGTGCGCGTGGCAAGACGACATGTCTCGACAACTCCTCTGCAGCCGCTCCTCCGCTCCTCACCCTAACGGGCGGGGCCGCGGAGTGCCCAGCGGGCGAGTGGGGGGGAACGCGGCCGCGCTCTGACCCGAACAGCAACACCTGGCGACCTGTGTATCCTAGTGGCTCGGCTGTTAAGCCGCGGCCGCTCGATCCTCCCACGAAGGTGCCCGTCGTGGGCGGCGTGGGGCGGCGGCCGCGCGTGGGTGCACGCGGCTGCTCTGCCGCCGCGCTGGTCGCCCCCAGCTCTCTCCGCACCCGTCTCCGGAAGAGGGGGGCAAGGCGACGGGGCAATCGGGGGCGAGAGCTGGGGAACCACTCGAACGGATGGTCTGGGGCCATGGGGATGACGAGGCGTCTGATCCGTCGAGCTGACGCCGATCTGGGCGAGGCTGGCGGCCGCGCGCATCTGCCGCCGAACTGCCCTGCTCTCCACCCCAAAACATACCTCCTGTCCGACTGACCGACCCATGACCGGGGAGACGTAAGACCCGGTTACGGGGGACTCGGAAATCCCCGACGAGGTCGTCAAAAAAATGGCGAGGCCGAGCCTGCATTTTGACGAGGCCTCCCGCTGCAGACATCCCACGAAACTCCTCCTCGTCAAAATCCGAGTCGCGGTCGTCAAAAAACGATGGCGAACCCGAGTCCCGGCAAACCCGGGTCTTACGCTCCCCCGACATGAAGCTGGCTACCTCGCACTTGGTCAGACAGTCCGACGCCGAAGTCTGGTGGCAGAGGCCGAGGGGCCTTCTGCTCGGCCCGGCGGAGCCTGCGCCGCTCCTCGGCTCGCGCTCGGTTGGCCGCAGCGCGCTGCCGAATCCCATCTGCGAGCTCCGCTGGCGATGGAGGGGGAGGGAACGCGCGCGAGGAGGGGGGTAGACAACGAAGGGCTCTGTGTCATCTGGCTGAGACGCGCCGCTGCCCTCGACAAAGGCTAGGACTTCAACGCGCCGCTGTTCGCCGGCGGCCTCGATGAGGCCCGGGCCCCTGGGGGTCGCCTCGGGGTGGAAAACGGCCCCTGGCTCGCGCGCGCCTTCTGCTGCTGACGGCGAGGGCGGCGCAAACGCGCGCCGTTCGGGGTCCGCGCGGGCCCGCCCTGGACGGGGGCAGGAAGCGAATTCTGGCGCCCAGGTCTCGCCTGTCCCGAGGTACGGGCCCCATTCTACATAGAACGCCCTAAGCGACCCACGGAGCGGCATGTCTTCTTCTTGGCAGTGCGCCATTCTTTGCGAGCCAGGTCGAACCCCATAAGCCCCTCGTGGTTTCCACGTCCGTGTGAGCGGCGTCCTCTCCCTGGTGTCTCGCATAGACGGTCGTGCAATGTGCGCATTCGCAGTGCCAGCGTGCATGTGGGAGCTCGTGCTACCTGACCGCGCTCGCACTGGTCGAAATCGGTCGTTGTGGTCACTGGGAAGGCCCCGACCTCCCTGAGAGCTGTGCACAGGAGAGAGCTGACCGCCTCTGCTCGCCAACTAGCCGGCATAGGGTGCCCTATCCAACAACTGGTCCCAACTGCTCAGTGCGCTGCAAAGAGCTCAACCATAGCCCCTAGCAGCTCGTTCCCTACCCTGTTCCATCTGTCGCGGGGTCACAGCGGAAAAGCCGCAGACATCGTCGCGGGGGCGCAACGGTGGGGGGGCCCATGTTGGGGACCCATCGGACTGCTGACCATGTCTCGCATGGGGCCCTCCCGCCTGACAACGCCGCCGGACGTGCTTGAATGTGATCCTTCCAAACATCAAACCCCCTCCCCTCCTCCTCCATACTACACCCTGCGAAATGCTTAAGAAATCATGGGTTAAGAAGATCATAGTCTCAGAACTTGAATACAAAACCCAACATTTCTATAAAAAACTTGGGATTTACATTGAAAGGTCAAGAATAATCGAGACCATGGCCGTAAAGTTAAGTTTTCTTAAGCATCGCCTAAGGTGTACGCCTCACCTCCTGGCGCGGGGGGTGCAAACCCGCACAGAGGCCGCCTCCCGCGAGGTGCCCGGCCCCGCGCGAGGAGGGGGGCAGGGAAGAAGGGGGAGGGGAGCAGGAGCAGGACAGGACAGGACGAGGGGGGGGGCAGCAGCAGGATGCGGGAGAGAGGGGGAGGACGAGGCGGGAGGGCGAGGCGGGAGGGCGAGGCTGGAGGGCGAGGGAGAGGACGAGGATGAGGAGCTTGGGTGGGGGGTCGCAGCTCCGCTCGAAGCGAGCCCCCCCCCCCCCCTCCCCCCCACGGCCGTGAGCAGCCGAGCCCGGTGCCAGCCACTCGCAGTACACGTTGCTCGCAGCGGCCACCGTGCTGCCGACCAACTGCCCGCGCCCTCCTCCTCCTCCTCCTCCTCCTCCTCCTCCTGCCCCTCCTCCTCCTGCTCCTCCTCCCTCCCCCTCCTCAAGCAAGAGCGGCCCGAGGCGCCTCCATGGCCCTTTGACACTTCGGTTCCTGGGTTGCCTCGCCGTCGCGTCCCGACACCTCATCGCGGCGTGCTTGCGCAGCGGCCGGAGTTGGCGGCCTTGGCATCCTGCTCCAGGCGACAAAGACTGGGCACGCAGGGCTCGCAATGCGCGTGAGTCTTCCTTCCTGCACTCCGAGGCCAGCGTCCCGTCCCAGGCGGAGGTGCTGGCGGTCTGTCCCCAACAAGGCCATCCATGCCTGGGCGTACTTCAACTCTGGGGCTGCAGTGGACGATGCTGTACTCAACTGCTTGGGTTGTTTCGTTCCTGTATTTCGTGGGTGGCGTCCGTCCCAGGCACGCGGATGTTCCTGTGGGCTGTGTCCAACAAAACTCTCTACATGTCTGGGCGTACTTCCACTCTGGAGTTGCATTTGGTGGCGACTTCATTTAATGCGTCTGGTCACAACGCGCTCTGTTCACAATAGTGTATTTTAACATGTCCTTTCGCTTTCGCTTGGTGTGGCACCGCGCAGACTGGTCCTTGTGCAGGCGCCGGACTTCCGATTCCCTACGTGGCCTGACGCGGGCAGCTGTTGTGAAGCTTCTCAACGCCTTTAGTGGGAAGAGTGTGGCTCGGCAGTGAGGTTTCATGGGATCCTGTCTAACCGCTCGCCCAACTGCTGGTCACCAGCGGTGCCAGGAGACATTCCTCGTACACTCGGGTCGGCCTGCGCTCTTCACGGTAAAGCTCCGTGCGCAGCGCAAGTGATACCTCTGAAAAATAATCGTGTTCCGAAAAGCGCTAAGCCACTCAACTTGTTTGTCCGTGATGCTAATGATGTTCGCTCCACCTTCGAGCGAATTGCAGGCACTGATGTTCCTCACGTGTATGTTTTGAACTTTGGCACATGCGAGGGGCCCGACCATGACCCCTCATGCAACAACGTGGTAAACGATTTGCATCAATTGATTTCTCAGGACATGGTAATAGCCATCGTCGCCACTCCTCCCAAAAGCTCTTGGCTGCTCCGAAAATGCCCGCTCCGATTGTGTAAGAGCCAGAGGGGGCTTCCGACTTGTATGCCAAAGCGCTGGGACACAATATATGCACGTAGTAATGAAGACCGTGCATGTCTCAGCTTGGGATTCGCTGGGGCGGCGGTGGGTCCGTCCTTCTTCCTTTTCCTCCCTGAGCCCCCTCCTGTCCCATACGCCTGCCGCCCCACGGAGCCCCCCGAGGTGCGCACGTGAAAACACGGGTAAGTTCCAAACCTGTGCAGCTCTAGAAAACGAAACTCCTGAATTATGAGGTCCGATATGTCACAGGGTCAGACTTCAGTCTGGGCTTGCAGGTGCGACGCTTGTTGTCGAGGCCCTCCGTCGCCTGCCCAGGAGAGCGAGCCTCAAGCCTGGGAGCCGCCCTGGGGGCGGAGCGGACTCGGCCCCTTTCCTCCTCCCCTCGCCTCACCATTTCCCCCTCCCTTTCCTCCTCCTCCTCCTCCTCCTCCTCCTCCTCCTCCTCCTCCTCCTCCTCCATGGGTCCCCACTGTAATGGAGGGAGGGGGCGCGCGGGCTCTGCGCACCCCCGCCCTCGCCCGAGCCCTGGGACGTGCCGTCGCCGCGCAGGCGGCCGCCGAACTGGCCGCCGGGCGCCGCGGCCCCCATCCCGCAGGCGATGGAGCGCTTCCACCCGCTGCGGGAGGGGTGCGAGGACGCGCGTGGGTCGGCGGGGTCCCTCTTCTTCCTCGTCCTCCCTTTTTCTTCCCCCCTCCTTCCTTCTGCATGCGAGGAGGAGAAGGGGAAGGAGGGGTGGTGCGGGGCCTGAAGTCCAAGACGCGGTCGCTTCGACAGCAGGGGAGGCGGGAGGAGGGGAGGGGGGGAGGAAAAAGGGAGAGGAGGAGAGGAGGAAAAACGGAGGCGAGAAGGAGGAAGGGAGGGAGAAGAGGAAGGCGAGGAGGAGGAGGAGGACGAGGACGGAGAGGAGAGGGGAGGAGGAAAGGAAAAAAGGAGGCGGGGGGAGGAGAGGAGCGAAGAGAAGCGGAGCGGAGAGGAAACACGGACGACCGGGCCCTCCGCCCCCGGAGCACCGCCAGGCCGGCGCCGACGAGCTTGCCCGACGGCTGCGCTCTGCTCGACCGGCCGCCCACCGCCGACGGCAGGTCGCGGGCCTACGTCAAAGGGGGGGGGCTCTGCTCCTGCGCCTGCTGTTGTTGTTCCCTCTCGTGTTCCTGCTTCGCCTCCTCCTGCCTTTCATCCTGCCCCAGCTTCATCCAGCACGCTATCGATCCTCCTCTTCCTCTTCCTCCTGCTCCTTCACCTGCTCTTCCTCCTCCTGCTGCACCACCTCCTGCTCCACCTCCTGCGCCTTCTCCTGTTCCTCCTCCTCCTTTCCCTCCTCCTTTCCCTCCTCCTCCTCCTCCTCCTCCTCCTCCTCCTCTTTCCCTCCTCCTCCTCCTCCGCCTCCTCCTCCCCCTCCTCCTCCTCCTCCTCCTCCCCGTTTGTTCTATGACGTTGGTCGGACATCAGCTGGCATGGATTGCGACGTCAATCAGACTCCTCATGCTGCTGCACCTCTTCCGCGCACTTCGTCTTAACATTTGGGAGAATCATGGAAGGCGGCTCCTTTTCAAACTGCGTGTTGCGTCTGAGCGTCGCGCGCATTCGCTATCACATGTCGCACCCTGTTCAAGGTTTTGCAACGTTGAAGTCGTAGGAATGGTGCCGTGGCGCGACTCAGGATCGCCTGGGCGCCACAGTATCGTTGATTCGCGGTGCAGGAAAGGTAAAAGCGGTGTTCTGGTACGGTTTAGGACAGTCAGGACGCAACCGTCACGTTTCCAATGGGGCACTTGCAAAAGTGGAAGTGCATGTTCTATGGGCTTGCGAGGAAGGGACTTGGCAGAAGGGTTCATCGCAATATCGCTGAAGCGTCCTGGCTTTTGACTGGTCCTCCTCCTGCTCCTGCCATTCTTCTTCCCCTTCCTCCACCCCTGCATCTGCTGACCCGCGGGCAACTGCGGGTTGCGGTCTCCGATGCTGAAGAACTGAGAAGACCTGGCACTTGCTCACGGGCTCCTCGAAGGCCAAGCTTTGAAACCTCGGAGGAACTGCTCTTTGGTGAATTTGTAAGTTGCCGTTTGGCCTGCTTTCTGGCTGGCGAGGGTGGGGCTCGCAGGCTTCTTGAGACTTGCGGGAGGCCCGGAAACCCGACCACCCGAAACGCCGACGCCCCAAGACCCACCCACAGAAACCGAGGGGTCGGCGGTCCAGATGGATCTCTGGGCCTCCACTTGAGCGACTGGCACCTTCCACTGGTTGTGGCGACGCTGGCTCGGGCACGGGTTGCACACGCACAAATGTCCGCTCCTGCTGTTGCCTCGTCCGCCGATCTCAGCCAGGCGCAGGGGGGAGGGGTGGGCCCTGGCATTGACACCGATGCCGCAGCACATCGAGAGGCTCGATTTTGCCCCGTCTCCTTCAAAAGAGATGCGTCGGAAGACGTGGAAGGAGATGCCCGTGGGCAACTGGCCCACGTTCCTGCTTCTGCTCAGTCGCCCTGGCCCTCCACCACCTCCGCCCCCCGGCGCCCCCCCCTCCTTCGCGCCGAGAGCGCGGCTTCCCCCCGGGCAGCCATGTCCCGCAAAATCCCGCGGGGCCAAAGCTGGCGAGCCATGCTGACTACAGTGCTAATCCAGACCTCCCCGTGCAAATTGTTCCTCGACTCTCGCCCAGCGACTGGTCTCGACTGCCCCCTCATTCGCTCACAAGCTCACATCGCTGCAGTTCCCGCGCGTTCCCGCGCGCGCGGGAAGGGCTGGAGGGTGCAATCAGATTGCGGCATAGACGCGCGCCGCGGCGGGGGTAGGCCAGCAGCTGGCCATCGACAAAACTGAACCCTTACGGAAGGCATTCTCATAATACAGATGGCACGGGCAAGCGAACAACTCGCGAAGGTTCGCAAACCCTGGGCGCGTGTGTGTGCGTGGGGGGGGGGAGGGCATCGCGCCGACATGTGGGGCGCGATGGACTGCGCGGGCGAATTCCTAGCTGACTGATAAATCACGTTCGACGGGAGGTCATGTAGGGGGGGGGGGGGGGGGGGGTAGAGCGGCAGCAGCGGCGGCAAACCCAAGCTTGGAACGCGCCTCAGAAGATGCCGTAGAGGTCAAGGCCATGGGCGCGGCACAGCACGTCATGCACACCGTAGTTGAGGTCGCGAGCACCAAGCAGGGAAACGCACATCATCGTAATCCAGAGCGAACTAACTCAATAATAGCATGCAACAGAATGTCTTTCACGGCGCCGCGAGGAGCGGCCCCGACCGCGCGCTCGGCCCCGACCTCGCCCAGGGCCTCGATTAACAGCCAACGCGGGCGCGCGCCCGAAGGCAGAGAGCGCGCGTCGGAGCCTCCACTTGGCGTCGCCACCTCGGTCAAGTCCATGTTCTGGACGCTGGGGCGAACGTCCTTCGCGCTCGGTCCGCAGCACTTCGTGATTCGAAACAATCGAGCATTGCCCCAAGCCTCCTCGAGGCCCGCCGTGGAAAACCACCGCTTGTACCATATTGCGACCTCTTCGCGCGCAGTGGCCCCCAGACCGTTCGAACGCTCGGGGTGCTCGTTGACGAACCCATTGGAATTGCGAAAGTGAGGAGGGCCGAGCTGGCCGCCCCGCCCCCGCGGCAGCGCGTTCTCGCCGCGCGCTTGGTCGGCGCGCGGACGGCTCGGACAGTTGGGAGCGCTGCGCCCAGAAACCCCGCGTCGACCCCTGGGGGCCGCGAGTCTCGAAGCACCTGAGATGCGAGCGGCACTTTTTCGATCGTGACGGCGACGACGATCTGCCGCGTCTTCCGCGTCGGCTGGGGGCCCCTCACCTCGATTTCGACCCTTCCGGTTCCCCCCCCCCTTGGCGCCCTCGCTGGTTGGGGGCGCCGCGGGGCGTCCCGCGGCCGATGCAGCGGCGGCGGGCGAAGCTCCCTTTGCCTCCTGTAGAGGCGGCGCGCCAGCTGCGCCCATGCCCCCCTTTCGCCCGAGCGCCCAAGCAGGCTGCGCCATCGCAGTCGCGCGGGAGACCTCCGGCGCGCGAGCGCTTGCAAGCAGCGCGGGCCTTGGTTAGTGATGACGCGTTCTAAGGGATTGGAAATTTTGCCGCGCGCGTCGCCCAAGGCCAAAGTCCCGCGAGCGGCGGGTGCCTTAGGCGTCGCGAGAAGAAAGCCGCTGACAACGCCATCAGCAGCGAGATGGTTCAATCTATTGCGTAGCCCAGCCGCGCACCCCCCCCCCCCCCCCTCATCAGCGGCCCCGCCTATATCGATGGCAAATCCCATCTGTCCAAGCCGGCGTAGCTCACGAGCTGCACCGACGTTCGCGTTCGAAAACATATGCTTCACATACTCATTCCCAGAGAGCGGCAAAAGAGAGCCACCCCAAATCCCCAACCGGTCGCCCACGTCGGTGAGAAGCGCATGGCAGGCATTTCATCCACGAATCGCCGGGCATCGGGGATCGCGTTGATCGCGAGGGCGCCGTCGAGCATCGCGACGCGGGTTTCGACGGCGCAACGACCATGCATCATCGGGATTAATCGACAGCGATCTGCGGGATGTCGCACAATAGTCCAGCGCCGACCCAGTCGCCGAATCAATGACTCGCGCCGAGCCGGAATGAGATCGGACTGTAAACGCGTCCGTCGAGAAAACCAGAATTGCGGGCGGGGGGTGCTCCGCTCGCGCGGAGCCCCCCAGGCAACCGAACGGATATTTCGAAGGAGACAAGAGTTCCCCCCCCCCCATTCGCGCGGGAGAAGTGAAGAACGGGGCGGGGCCAAACAGGGGCCCCCTCTGGACGACGCTGGCGAAAATGAGCCGCCCCACCATCTAGGATGCCACGCTGCCCCAGAACTCTGCAAGCGCGCGCCATCCCCTGGCGGCGGCTTCGCAGGCATTCGCGACCTGCGGACCACGCGCGCGCAGGCGCGAAGCACGGGCCAAGGCGACAGACGCGCCGCGGGCAAATCGACTGCCGCGGCAACCTTTTCCCGGAAAGGGCGCCGGCCCAGGGTTCTCTTTTAGTTGGTAAACCTGCCCCTGGTGCCTCAACTGAGGTGGGCCGGCGGACTCTTTCCCGGATAGACGTCGAGGTCGAGGTGGGCCGCGGGTTAAAATTTGAGGAGGTCGCAGGCGAAACGCTTGTTATTGAATTCCCGATCGATAAATCACAGGGCGCGGGCCGCTCTTTCGCGCGTTGAGGATGTCTCGAGCGAAACGCTTGCTCCGCAGAGTGACCGTGCAATTCAGCGCGGCGCAGCGCAGCGCAGATCCCGGCAGGGTGCGTCAAGACCGATGCACTCAGCATTGCATTTGCCTGTCGCCCAATCAAGTGTCTTTGGAGCGTTGCCATGTCTTGCATTTCGATATTCCTTTCCGGCATCGTGGGCCGATCATGTTTAAGCCAGGAGGCGCTTGCCTGATATGTGTTTTAAGATCTGGTTTCAACCGCCGGCGCGAAGAATTAAATTCGCCAGCGCCTGTTCTGCAGCAACCACTTCTGGCGCTTCCTGCAGGCGCCCAGACGCAAGGGCACGAACATAATGTCAACGTGCTTCGACAAAGATGCATCCACTAGCCCGCTGACCAGCGGGCACTGCACCTCGAGTTTATGCCGGAGAGAACGACGTCGCCAAGCGCTGCATCAGCGCACTAGACGAGAGCAACATCTGCATATCACTATCGACACCCCCTAGGTGGAATCATCTAACCGATCGCGCGAGCAACGGCCGTAGGCAGTGCTCACCTCATCAAGAACAGCAATCTGGTCTTGACGCCCGCGTCGAAAACGCACCGAACTAAGATGCACGGCCGCGATCGCATTCTCGCGTCGTCGGCGCGGCGGGCGCCCCCGATCAGCCGGACAAACACAACAACCAAAAGACGCCAGTTCGCAGATGCCACGGCGCATCGCTCGAAAAAGTCATGGCCCATGAAGATAGCGCGTGCCACCATTAACTGTCGATGGTTGCTAAGCGCTGGAATCTCCAACGCGCGCAGAAATTGCCAAATGCGCATCCACGCAGTGGCCAAACCGCGGGAAACCGCCGTCTTGGAAGTCACGAAGCGGGCCGCGAAGTCACGAATCTGCAAATCATGTCGCCAACGGAGGAGACTCTGCTG